TTTTCCCCTGTAGAAAATAAAAGATGCCCCTGAGGAAGCCTTCAAGAGCTCAGTATAGGAAGCGAAAAGCTCAATTGCAATCTCGTTTGCAGCAAGGGGCAAACATGATGGGAAAATATCTGAAACAGAAAGTGTCCCAGTGCAGAAGAAATTGAGGAATTTATTTGCTTAGATATGGCATGAATAAATACAGATTTAGAGATCCTAGCATGCAAATGTATCTTATAGGACAGGGATAAACCATGCATCAAAGTCCTAAAATGAGCTACAACTGCAATAAAAAATAAGGTTTTCAAAAGTTTAACAAAGGCGGGGGCAGGATGGCGAAGCCACTCCTCACCTGGGGTTTAATTTATGCCTTTTGTATTACAAGCTTCAGTTTAAGTAGCAGGTTTCACGATCCAGGCCCAAGTGTGTGTAATCCAAACAGGAAGTAAAGGAAACAAGCAGAAAACATACTGAGTGCAGGCACATGAGTTTCCCATAACTGCCCTGCAATATTTTGAGTCTATTAAAGGCAGCTCTCAGGACTGAGACCTCACTGCCGTGACTAACGAAGTGGGCCTTTGAAGTGGCACGCTACTGCCAGAAGGGATGATGGAAGTGGAGTGTTTTGTCCTCCCTCAACAGAGCTGTTCCTTGTGGGTATCCAGAGATCAGTTAGTCCATATGGAGCACAGAGACACAAGCTGGGTAAGTAGGTCCTGTGGGGGCTGGCTCAGGAGAAGGACTGGTGGGAGAGAAGGCTTTACGCTGAACTACCATCTAACCTGAGAACTGGGGTCTCCAACGCTAGGCTGAGTCACAATGTCAGGAAAATGCCCCTGTTCTGAGGATAATTAGCACATCCGTCTCCAGGGCTGTCAGACTATTCCAGTGAATCTTTGCAAGACTTCGTTTTTAAAACGGGATGTTTAGGGAAGGTATTTGGTGGTTTTTTTTTAATCTATCTGTTTTGCAGTTTGACATAACATGTAGGTTTCAGTAGGGTTACCATATTTCAAGCC